TAAATTTGCAACTCTGTTAATTTTTTGGGGTTCATAAATTTATTTTTTCATGCACAGACCATTTTAGTGCTCAGTGATAATAATGATTTATAATTTGGAATATAATTAATGCTTAGTTTACAATGCGAAAATTTTAGATGAAATTTGTTTGTATCAAAAACTTCTGTGTTTCTTTTGGTAAGATTATTTCAGTTGCGAAATAAAGAATTATTGTCATTAATTCCACTAGAGTAAGGTGTTTTAAGGCCTAAAGCTACTATTTTCATTTGCAGCCATCTTACTGCTGCAAACGAATAAGCTACTTCATGAATGAAGACAGTATTCATTGTCAGATGACAATTTTTGCATCATAGTCACACCTGTGACAATTTAAAATAAAATGCCACGAAGGAAACAAAGTAAAAGTTTTGAAGCTCTTCGCAAGGCTAGGTGGACTGCCAGGACCGTATATTCAACGGCTGCGACATCTATTTCCTCTACTAGATCTATTATTGCCAAAGATAATGATAGAAATGAGGTAGGCAGCCTGGCTCCACCGCACTTTCCATCAAGATGACATCCTAAAACCATAAATACTATGCTAAAACATACTAAATAGATGTGATATAAACCTGAGGTGGGTGTCAAAGTATTTGATATCAGTAGACTTGAAGTCAGTGTTCAAGGATGCGATATAGGTCCTGAGGAATAAGGACCCCACCATTTTTAACTAATTAAATTTGATTAGCATTTACATCAAGCTATACCTATGAGGCCCAACTATACATGCCATGCAGTCTTAATATTCTTCATCTGTATTTTAGGAAGCCAATGTGACAGCTACACCAAAGAGGGAGAATCAAAGGGATTCAGATGAAACAATGGAGGTCACTCCAATACATTTTCAAAAAGATACTGATTTTAGCTTTGATACTCCTGAAGGACGCAACTCTGGTGAACTACCTAATAGTAATTCAATCTTCTTGGGTCAAGTAAGCCAAATGTGTAAATTTATTGATCAGATTAATTTAACTTCCAAATGTGCCACACCATTATGTAATGTAAGTTAAAACTTGTTTGTGTTAGTATGATTGGTCAACAAGGTTGTGTTACTTTACAATATGATTGTACTGGTTGTGCTGAGAGATGTGTTGCTTTTGAGAGCTCAATTAAGCATGAGACTGAAAATTGTACAGCAATTGGTTTTACTCTGCAAATTGCATTTATATGTTCAGGTGCAATGTACTCTCAATATGCTAAAGTACTTAAAAATGCTCTTGGCATGTACTGTGTAGGAAAATCGATATATTACAGGACACTGGCTTTAATGTACCCACAAATCAAGAGTATACTAAATGATATGTGTGAGCAAGCAAAAGAATCAATGAAGCAGAAGACTGAGAGTGAGCTTGGGTCTTTTGAAAATGCTGACATGTGGTGATGCTGCTTGGTTGACACGTGGTTACCATAGTCAAAATGCTACATATACTCTACGAAACTATTAAACTGGTGGGCTTTTGTACTATAAGCATTTTAGTCAAAGAGGTAACAATAATATAACAGGAGAAGAATTGTTTGAAAGTAGATCAAAATCTGCAGAGGGATTTGGGGCTGAGTGGTTTTTTAAAAACCTGTAACTGATAAAATGAACATTAGCGTGATGTGGAACACAATGACAGTACTTCTTCAAAAGCTTTACTTTCCAATTTTCCTAATTGTAGGATCATTTTGTGTAGTGGTCATATTGCACGAAATCATGAAAAGCATTTGAAAAGGCTTGCTAAGCAAAAAAAATTAAGAAAAAGCCAAATCAAAAAGTACAAAAAAACTCACCCTGATATTGCTACAGTAAAGTGTCACTGCACGACAGATGACATTCGTTGTTTTACTAAGGTTTTATTAAGACAGCTAGGATAAACTTTTCTGCTATAGTTAAGTCTGTTGGCTGTGACCAACAAGGATTTATAGATCGATTCCGCTCACTAGCTAAGTACCATGCCAAAAATATGCATGAATGGGACAGTGGGAATTGTTTCTTTCACGATTTAACTGTGTGTGAGTGTGGAAAATGTAAGAAAAGTGACATTACATGTCAAGGTAAGCCATATAAAACTAAGAATATTTTAAGTTGCCCTTTTCATAGTCTTGCATATGAAATTGCATGTGAAGCCATTATTGCCAAATCAAAACAAATTATTCGTAAGGAGTTAGGTTGTTGCCATACTAGTATAACTGAAACATCTCATAACGTATTGCTGCAGTTTAGAACAAAGAATTTAAATCTTCAGATGCTTCACTGTTATGTTTCTACTTCACTTAGGCTTATACAAAGTAACATGTCCTGGATGTATGTGCACAAGGGGCCAGCTTACCATTGGTTTCTTGATCTTTTTGATAGAATGAGCTTACCCAGATTTGATGGTATGGCTGAAGTATTAAAAGCATTAAATATCTCTAGGTTTAAGTCTGTTATAAGAGTCAAACTGCACGATGTTAAATGTAAGAGAAGAAGAGCAAGGAAAATACATAGGCAATCTGAAAAAGTTGCATGTAAATTATGGGTTGAGCAAAATAAGACATGTCACACATATGGTAAGGAAACGCCTAAATCATCTCATAAAAGAAAAGCAAAACAAGATTAAAAGATTTGTAATACAAAAAGAAGTAAATTAGGTATAACTGATTTTGATCAAGATTCAGGTAGTGAGTGTGGCTCATTAGCTACAAAGTCTGTGCATAAAGTACAACAAATGATAAGGTAATTGATTAGGGCAAATTAATATTTGATGATAGTGATGATGATGATGAAAGCTTACTCTCTAGTTCTGATGGTAATGATAGTAGCATTTTGAATAGTTCTGGTATTGTTAGTGATTTGGAAGAGTTTATAATCAGTAGTGTTAAATATACTTGCAGTATAGAAAAATCTTCACACCAACGATCATGCCCACTGAATCCTAGAAAAAGAGGTATGTCTCCTGATGTTGAATATATCAAATCAGAAGATGCAATGCCTACATTAGTAATAGGCAAAACGCTTTCCACAGACTGGATGACTTCTACTGCTTTACTAATACAGGATTATACTGGAGAGACTGTTAGTGTAGGTACTGATCCACTTAAGACTATTAAACATGCTGAAATATCTCCTTATATTTGTCATAAAATTAAACGAGACAGAAATTGTTCTTAACGAGCAATTTCTAAAGCTATCACTGGGACTGAAAGAGAATCATATGCTAATTAGATTGACTATTTCTACTTTCATGACAAACAATGCATCAGAATTAACAAATTTAGTTTTGCCAAACGTGCCCAATATTACTAGTCAGATGCTGCAAATGCAATGAGGGTACATTTATTGCATAAAAAATTAAACCATTTTGGTACATGGGCTACTGAAAATGAGATTTTTATTGCTGCAACTGTATTTCAATTAAAAATTCATGTTTCAATACTGTCAACGCAAAAGAAAGCCTGTTCTTGGTGTACATTTAAATCATTGTGTCATAATGAAAGCTGTCATTACTTATCCGACTTTAATGTATATCTATGTCATACAGATGCAAGAAATTACTATGAATTGGTTGACTTGAACCTCACATAGTGTTAACAGTTTTTTATTCAATTTATAATTGTAATATTGTAGCAATTAATTTATTTCAGTATATATTTCACAAAAGATACCAGTCACGACATTACTTCAGCTTTAATGGTAAATATCTAGTCACATAATTCACATACTCATTTCTCTTTCAAAGTTGGGCAGCAATATACAGTACTACCTCCATGTGGTGCTGCCTTAGTCAGGCGTGGCCCTACCCTTGCGAAAACGGAGGGTCAGGAACCTCGTGTATACCAGACTTGTTTTCAACTACTATGGCTTCGGTTGGAGCTGGAGCTACTGTAGCAGCCTATGTCATCATAATGAATAATTAATAGCTAATTATTGTTTAATAATAAAAACAAAAATAATTATAATTATACATAAAGAAGCAATGACGACTTGTAAGACTGTCAGCTGTGGAAGCAACATTACTTCCCAGGCTAACAATCATTACAGTTCGTTTAGCAGATCTAATTTGGTGTTTTATACATGGAGAGAACTGAGGCGGCATATACGGCCAGGTTTGAGGAGCTTCCTATGAATGAGACTTCTGATGACATCCTGTATAACTGCTCTGATGAATGTATAGTATCTGGAAGAATATGAAAATGCAGAGAAAGGATACCAAGAAGACTAGCTAAAGCACCAACATCCATTTTCAATAAATATTAATGATTATTAAAGTGTCATAGTCATAGCAAGTCACAATGCGTCACTGCAAAATTTCTGCAGCAGCTAAAAAGTCTGGTATATACAAGGTTCTTGACCCTCCGTTTTTGCAAGGATCAGGCCACACCTGACTAGTGCTGCCTGGAGTCTCTAGTATTACATATAACGTAGAGATGCTAAAATAACTGTGACATGCACTATAAAATTTTTAACCTTTGTATGTCAACTGGTTCGTTGTTGGCTTTACCTTCAGGGGCGTTTCTAGCATGGAGCTGAATGGTGCTTGAGCCCCTCCCTCAGGGGTCAGCTCAGAAAAAAATTACTGAAGTCCTGGACTCTTGCATCACTACCAAGCCTCTTAACAAAGTTATCTAGCCCCCTGATCATGACTTCAGCAGTTTCCAATGCTTTAAGGAGCAATCAGAAGTACAAGTAACATGGCAGTATGCTTGAAAGGATCTTGGCCCCACCCATAATTGACGAAAATGCAGGAAAAGGCCATTTTACTGCCATAAAAGTGTGTGTGGCCAAAATCACTATGCGCTTCACGCCCTCAGCACCCCCCTTCTTCAGTTCCTAGATACGCCCCTGACCTTTAGTTTTGCATATATAGGCGAAGTACTTATAGAGGTGGTGAAACTGGCAGTTGATAGTATGGCGGTGTGCATAGGCAAAGTTATTTATGAGAAGTAAAGTGCAACAATTTCGAAACAGTTAAAAAAACATTTTCTTTTCATTAAAGCAACATAGGATGAAGTAAGGATAAGCAAGGTAAGTACATATATTTTATTTGTTCTCCAAAATAATGTTTGTAACAGATAATATGCTGTCACAGATCAATTTTAATGAATTTACGTCTAAGAGATAAATGAATTGAGAGACCTTGAAATCTATCTTCACTTCCCTGCTCCCAGATACACTAGCAGAACCATAGCATAGCAAAATCTAGAAAAAGTAATTATGACATATACATAGACTACCATAATTTACTTGATTTCCTTCAATAAATAGCCCCAATTGATATTGGTTATTGTCTGAGACATTCTGGATCATTATACCAAGCATGTAAAACATTAGTTGACCACATCGCTCCGTTGAGGTATTGTTGATGGGTACTCTTTAATGACTTTATCCTAAAGACAAAAATAAATAAGTAGAAAAAAATATCATACCTCAGCCGTTACAATGGTGAACATGCGGCAGTTTATCAAGACGACATCCGGGATACCCTAAAGAAGGAATAAAGAATGATAAACATAGGGACAATCAACTCACTACAAGGAGTATCTGGTCCTGTGTACATGGCACCATTGCTGGCCTGACTGTATCTGTAAAGGAAGTAAAAAAGCAATCTTGAAAAATCTGTGATGCAATTATAGGGAAATGGAATATCAGATTAGTATTATGAGTGTGTACCCTTGCCACAATAAAAATACAGTTTGCTTGGTTAGAATTGCCACATAGCTAAGTTTGCTGTGGCTGAATTGTTCCATATAAATTATTCTTTTTAAAAATGGCAAATCTCCCACTACTTTATATACACTGTATATCACACAATAGAATGTTCTAGAATGGGGAAAGATCATGGTTCAGAGTATGGTGATTAGTTAGTGTGAGATATTAAATAGTGAATAGCTAAGGAAATTAAATGGTGAATAGCTAAGGGCTAGTGTGAGACATTAAAGGGCTAATAATACACTAAATAGTAAGGTTAGGACAAAGGTCACTTTGCAACCTTCAAAGGTTATACATTAAAGTTTCGAAGCCTTGCAAGATTCATTAACATTAAAAATTATCACCCTGCCTCTGTTTATAATGTCAAAGTCATAGTTCAGCCCACTATATAAACTTGTGGTCGAGGCTATGTAAACTATTGATCACATTAACTATTAATAACTACTAATAATGAAGCTTGAAGACTTAGTTTCTCCTTGAATGGCAGGAATTCAAATGAAGCTTCGAAACTTTGGAAGCTTTGTCCCCAGCCCAACCAAATAGTTAATAGCTAAGGGCTAGTGTGAGACATTAATTTGTTAATAGCTAAGGACTAGTGTGAGACATTAAATAGTTAACAGCTAAGGACTAGTGTGAGACATTAAATAGTTAATAGCTAAGGACTAGTGTGAGACAGTAAGTAGTTAATAGCTAAGGACTAGTGTGAGACATTAATTGGTGAATAGCTAAGGACTAATGTGAGACACTAAATAGTTAATAGCTAAGGACTAGTGTGGGAAATTAATTAGTGAATAGCTAAGGACTAGTGTGAGATAGTAAATTGTTAATAACTAAGGGTTAGTGTGAGACAGTAAACAGTTAATAGCTAAGGACTAGTGTGAGACAGTAAATAGTTAAAAGCTAAGGGTTAGTGTCAGACATTAATTAGTGAATAGCTAAGGACTAGTGTGAGACATTAAATAGCTAAGGGCTAGTGTGAGACATTAATTAGTAAATAGCTAAGCAGTGGCGGATCTAGGGGGGTTCCATAGGTTCCATGGAACCCCCCCATTTCGCAGAAGAAGTTGTCTTTTTGCAGTATCTTTTGATACTTTGCAGTCAGTTTGCAACACTTTTCCTCCATTTTATTTGTTAAAATTGATGAGCCACACCCAAATTTTAATTAAAATTAATGAGCCACACCTACTTAAGTGAAATGGAACACCCCTTTTAATTTTTCTGGATCCGCTAGTGCTAACAACTAGCGTGAGACAGTAAATAGTTAATAGCTAAGTGTTAGTGTGACACATTAATTAGTGAATAGCTAAGGACTAGTGTGAGACATAAATTGGTAAATAGCTAAGGACTAGCGTGAGACATTTAATAGTTAATAGCTAAGGACTAGTGTGAGACATTAATTAGTTAATAGCTAAGGACTAGTGTGAGACATTAAATAGCTAAGGGCTAGTGTGAGACATTAAATAGCTAAGGGCTAGTGGAGACATTAATTAGTGAATAGCTAAGGACTAGCGTGAGACAGTAAATAGTTAATAGCTAAGGGTTAGTGTGAGACATTAATTAGGGAATAGCTAAGACTAGTTAATTGGTGAATAGCTAAGGACTAGTGTGAGACACTAAATAGTTAATAGCTAAGGACTAGTGTGAGACATTAATTAGTTAATAGCTAAGGACTAGTGTGAGACATTAAATAGCTAAAGGCTAGTGTAAGACAATAAATAGTTAATAGCTAAGGACTAGTGTGAGACATTAATTAGTGAATAGCTAAGGACTAGTGTGAGACAGTAAATAGTTAATAGCTGAGGACTAGTGTGAGACACTAAATAATTAATAGCTAAGGACTAGTTCTAGACATTAATTAGTTAATAGCTTAGGACTAGTGTGAGACAGTAAATAGTTAATTGCTAAGGACTAGTGTGAGACACTAAATCTTTAATAGCTAAGGACTAGTGCTAGACTTTAATTACTTAATAGCTAAGGACTAGTGTGAGACTCTATATAGTTAATAGCTAAGGACTAGTGTGAGACACTAAATAGTTAATAGCTAAGGACTAGTGCTAGACATTAATTAGTTAATAGCTAAGGACTAGTGTGAGACATTAAATAGCTAAGGGCTAGTGTGAGACACTAAATAGTTAATAGCTAAGGACTAGTGTGATACATTAATTAGTGAATAGCTAAGAACTAGTGTGAGACAGTAAATAGTTAATAGCTAAGGGTTAGTGTGAGACAGTAAATAGTTAATAGCTAAGGGCCAGTGTGAGACATTAATTAGTGAATAGCTAAGGACTAGTGTGAGACACTAAATGTGACCATAATTGACAAAAGGGACCTTATGGCGTGTAGTGAAATTTGTCTTTCTAGCCTAAGAAATCCAACTTCCTGAGCCCCATTTATCATAAAATTACTCCACAGGATGCAAAACGTTATTATGAAACTTTTAGAAACAATGATTGTCTAACAAAGCACTCACAGGTTGATATTTTCCATTATAATGATCAATTTTAAAATCCACCATAAGGGCCCTTTTGTCAATTATGGTCACAAATAGTTGATAGCTAAGGGTTAGTGTGAGACAGTAAATAGTTAATAGCTAAGGACTAGTGTGAGACATTAAGTTGTTATTAGCTAAGGACTAGTGTGAGATAGTAAATAGTTTATAGCTAAGGGCTAGTGTAAGAAATTAAATACACAGTTAATAGCTAAGGACTAGTGTGAGACACTAATTAGTGATTAGCATGCTGAGACTGAAAGATACATAGACTCATGGAATTATTCATTCACATCTTACCATCATATTTATCAGTCTCTATTGTTGATCTGTCTTATCTGAAGAAGATAATTCAGGCTCCTCATAGTTTATAGCACCAACAATACACCTTGTCCTCTCAGTTGGGCTCCTACTCTGGTCACTTGAAGAGCACGAATCAAAAAGAGGCTGAGGTATTTTCTGCTGTTGGCAGATGTGTATTTGAAACGCTCCAATGTCAGACTCAGACTTTGGGCTAAGACTAAAAAAGTATATGAGCAAAAAATACTATTGAAACTTACACATCATAATGCGTGGCATGGGGCACACAAAAGGTATAAGTTTTGATAAATTCTAGCAATACACGTGTGAATGCCTTCAAGCAGCTATTATCAGACCTGTTTATGATCATGCTTTTCAAAGAAATAGCCACACATTTTATTTCAAATGGCTAGGACAAAATAGTCAATACACAAGGTAAAATTCAAAAACATAATATCAGAAGGTACATCACATGTCTTTAGGTCTTCCCATGACACTTTTGATAAAAGGGGTAGTAACAAATTAGCCCTTTTTACTTCTGCACACCTACAAATGGAAAATTTACTGTACAATCCACTTAATTGTTATCAAATGACTACACCTCCCAGGAATACCAACAAACCTTGTACAATGCAATGGCCGGTTGAATGGCATGTGCTCTTTTATATCGTCTACCACCCTCATGCTACCAGTAATACAATAACCTTTATGCTGCAAGAGAGATGACTCGAACCACGCTTTAAAAGATGTAAATCTTCTGTATCACGATGCAGCTACACATGGTACTATATTATAAGCAAAAGATGTTCAAATGTACAAACAAATGCCTATAGTCATGTATAGTCCTTTTCTTTCTTTTTTGAGATTTTTCTTGATCAGCTCTCCAGGTATGCACCCTCTTCATTGCATTTTTTCTAAAAATGCATAGTATATAATAATTAAACAGTTTAACGAACTCTCACTTTCTTTGAAAAGTGCTAACCACTTGATCTTTGTAACAATAAGAAAAATTATAATTAAAACACAAACTTATACAAAATGAACCTTCTTGATTGATGCATTGACAGCACTGACACTATATAAGTAACTAACTTAAATATCTGTAATAAAGGACAAGATATGATAGGTAAAGCCACTAAAATTATTGGAATTTTTGAACTTCATTTTTGTAAATACTGTAAGACGATTTATATTCATAAATGCTGCTCATACCAAAAATCAGCTTGCTCTGACGGGCCTTAACAGCTCACTTCACTTTGTATCTATAAAGTAGAGAGAGAGAGAGAGCAGAATAGTAGTGCTATTGCTTTTGCTTGATTGAAAACCTGCTGCCGAGTAGTATCGGCTTCTGTGATTGAGTTTCAGTCGGCGGCCGCGGTAACAGCTCCGTCACTCTTGTACCTAAGATTAGGAAAAAAAGAGAAGAGAAAAAATGAATGACAGGATTAGTTAAGCCACACCTAAATATGACTACTCTCCTCTTCTAACCAGTCTCTCGGGGAGACTAGGGATCAACTCGATCAAGCGAGTCTGAGAGAAGAAAGAGGACTTTCTTGCTTCTTCTTCTTCGACAAGCAGGCAAGCAGTGCACATGGTTGATCACGTGATTGGTGGTCTTATTATGGTTTGATATTTGGTTTGCGCATGCGTACAACAGTTGAACTGCTGTTCAAATGGACGGCGAAGGCGAAGGGCATTGTTACTGAATGAAGTCCATTTCTCTATCGCTTTATAATATCACTATTTTTTTAA